CCTGTGAGCCCACTATGCTCTGATTGGTCAGCTCGCCCACTCTGTTCTGATGAGTCCACCACGGCTTGTTACAGCGGAACATCAGTGATTATGTGTTACAATGGCGTTAGCAACCAGAAAATTACACCAGTAATGACAAACAGATGAGAATGCTGCGTGGGGTCTGGGTGCCATGTTGGCGGGACGTTGCACGGCTCGCTGCTGTGAGGAGGGGACAGTGTGAGCTCTATTACTGGTGTCGTTTCCTGGCTGCTGCGTGGGGTCTGCGAGACATCGTGAAACTCAGCCTGAACTCAGCCTGAGCACCATGGACGCGGGAAGGGGGGGTGCTGAGAGGGCTGCAGCACCCCCATCTGCGAGGCTCAACTAGCACCCGCACCCCCAAACGCGGCGCACCTACATTGTAAGCGCGCCACAGTTTCGCCGCTGCGAGGCTCCACTAGCAACAAAAGAAAATCTCCAACGAGGCGTTCTGGGGCAGCATAAACGGGTCTTTTCTGTGTTAGAGTTTTACTCGCTACAAGGTGTACTTTGAGGGTTTGTGACTCTGCAGACCGTTTACATGCAGAAAAACCTACATAACACACAAGGGGACGGGTAATAACCGGAAAAGCATGACATGGGACCTTTTTTAAAGTATCATACCTAGCTTAGAGTTTGAAAGGATAGCATTTCTGTCAGTGTAAATGTCTGCTTTTGTGTGAAAACAACTAGACAGAGAGATAATTGTATCTGAATTTGTGCAGGTGTGCAGCGCATCATGGACATGAACACCCTCAGCTCTCAGCAGAGGAGTGTGGCCTGGGGGCTCGGTGCCGCCCAAGAAGACCAGCTGTCCAAACGGGCCACCACTCCTGCCCTGATCCGGCTCTACCAGCTGCTGCTGTTCACCATGCCTGGAACTCCCGTGTTCACCTACGGAGACGAGATTGGCCTTCAGGCAATTGTAAGCTACAAAACGGAGAAGAAATTCAAGTTTAAAAAAAAAAGTGTTTTATTACCTCAGCTGTTATAGAGTGTAAGGTTTTTCCTTTTGCATTTCCTTATCAGGGATCAGAATCACCAAAGATGGTTTGGGACATAGAGAAGGAACCTGTTGAAGGAGCTGCTGTTAATGACACTGCTGAGGTAAGAGAGTTACAGAGTCTACATTTTAAATTAGTTAATTTTAGTTTAGCCTTATTTTTATTTTGGCTTGTTTACAGATTGACCTCTAGTTCAACATTTCCTCAATTCTCAAATGTACAGGTTCAGCGAAAAGAATACGTTGCTGTGAGGAAGTGGTTTAGATCCCTCAGCGAACTGCGAGTCAAAGAGCGCTCTCTCCTCCACGGCGACTACTACCCTCTCTCCTCCTCCGCCTCCTCCCTCTCTTTCCTCCGCATTTGGGACCAGAGCGAGAGGTACATAACGGCGGTCAACTGGGGAGCAGCGCCTGAGACGCTCACTTTCAAACTGGAAGCTACAGGCAAGTTCAGCAGAAATATTTAGCTTAGATGTTATGTATCCATCCCCATATTGTTCATTATTTAACAACATGATCTTTCTTCCTGCAGAGGGATTAGAGTTGCCAGAAACGGCCACGGTGAAGCTGGCGACAGATGAAGCTCTGGTGGTAGACTCCACCGTCACCTTGGACAAATTTGTACTCGCACCCGGACAAGCTGTCCTGCTGCAGTTCCCCTAGACGGGCTAAAGATGGAGCCAAACTATAGAAAGCTACGCACACATCACTTGTTTTAAAGACAAACTGAAGTCAGTCCTTATCCTTAAAAATAAGATTGGATAGTCAAAAGATTGAGTTTCTTTTTACTTTTTTTTAAATAGACAAGATTCTTTAGTCAGAACATAAGTGAATAGGGTCAAAGAAAGTCTGCCATCCAACTTGTTGGCCAGTATAAACCCAGATGAATTTTTCTGGTTTTTAACACACATTTGAGTTTTAATCTTGTTTTGTTGGGAGAATGCAACCACTTTAGATATGCACTGAGCATTTTATTCTTTTGTGATCATTTAATGTTGACAACATTGTCCAAATATGTGAAGACATTCCATTGTTTGTTCTTTGGGCATTTCTTTGGCAGTCCTTTTTGTTCTTTCTTTATGTTTTTCTTTTCTTTTACATTTTAAGAAATTCCGTTTTAGTGACAGTTTTTCTGTCTTTAACATCAAGGGTGACTCTGAAGTCTTTTTTAAGGTGCTAGTAAACAACATTTTGTGATTGGCAACAATTCTGACAAGTGAACTGAATTGAAAATAAACAGAAAACTAAACTGTACCTACTCTGCGTATGCCTCATGTTTATTTTTATATGCGACTACATTCTTATAAGATTGAGTTCTTTGAGCTTAAGATCATATCAGATGAGACGTTCACTATTTTCGGTACGTACAGGTGTGTGTAAGTGTGTCACAGATGTTGGCGGAGGAAGCATGTCTATATTTTATCAGCATCTTGGATGGGTTTCATCTGGTTATTGTACTTTACTGAAATGTACGCTGTGCTACGAGTTTCACTAAATGGGTCATACATGACTGTCTTAAAGTAATCCTGTCATAAACCCTGACTTTAATGTCAAATGTATATGAAACTATGTGCATTTTATTTTAAATAACTTTCAACCCATCTCTGAGAATATTCTCATAAATTAAGTGATTTATAAACAAACTTTCTGTAAGATAAATAGGCATTGACATCAACACGGGGATGAGTGAGCAATTTTGTCTATATTAAAACATCCTCTCTGTGCAAACTTTTCCCGCAGATCTTTTTTATAAATGAATTATTATAGATGGGAATAATAGGACTTTTCAATTGCTAAAACCTTTTGAGAGAAATTGCCTGTGTGATTGAAACCTGCTGTTCCTTTCCTAACATTAGTGCTTCAATTATTGCTCTTTTTAGTTAATATGCAGTGCCCCTGCTTGAATGAAACGTTGCCAAAAGGAGTGCTTTACACAGTCTACTTAATCTTAAAACCGTCTGTTTTTTAAGTGGATTTTCATAAGTGTTTTAGCTATTGTTCCACCAGTGAAACAGAAGTAGAGCAAAAAAAACAACTGCTTTATCAACAAGCCGTTAAAAACACAGGATTATGATATAACTACTTATTTTACTCCTGTATGAACTGGAGTCCAGCCTGATGCCTGACATGATGTTCCCAAACGACTTGATATTAGTACATAATTATACTTTTATTACACATGAAAAGCAACTAAGTACATGTACTGTATCTAAGAACAGGTTTAAAGTACTCTGCTGCACATCAGACAGAACTATACAAATTAACATTATCTGGCAGCTGTAGTACTAGTTCATTTGAAGTTCTCATTTATAAAAAGAAATCACATTTTGAAATAATATTTTACAACATTTAGCAACAGAAGAGTTTATGAAGTAGTTAAGGTTGGCTACATCTCAACCAGCTACTATACAGCAATAAAATGTTGCTCAGGCATTAAGGCATCATTAATAAAATATTTGTTATTATACATCATTATTATTACAACTCTGAAGGGGAGTTTTCTGCATAAGTAGGCCTACTTTCCTCTTTGATTCAGCCAAATGTTTGAAACCACACATATATCAATCAACTATCTAAAAACCAGAACATTCAACTAAAAATTGTATTTAATGAAATTCTGACAGATTTCTTTATTTTCTGACCAGTTTCATTTGCTCTTATGCGTATGTGATCTCTAACAACCTGGGAATTTCTCATTTAAGTACTTCAATTTAAAATCATCCTTTTGATAAAAATGTCAAACAGTCCCTTTAACAGTTGAAACTCAGGTTAATTCTCAGAGTTTCAGAGTCTTGGTATAATACAGGGCCGCTGTGGTATCGCAGGGGAGGTTTGAAGTTGATGATACCGGGAATCAGAGCCCGTCTAAGCACATCACCCCACGCCGCTCTGAAACCCAACCACCGTCTCACCCACCGCCGTGCACACTCATGACTGACTCTCAGTCTGAGTCTGACACACAACTTTTTACATCACAGTGACATGAAGATACCTGACCTTTCATCAGCTTTCACTGCAGATTCATAAATGATTTTTTTACACTGAAATAATCCACTCTTACATGTTACTATACATTAGATATCCATGTGATTGAAAATGACATATTTCCATTTAAAAAGCAATCATAAAGCCAGTCCCTCTACTCAACACTTATTTTGTATAGATTTTTATTATAAGTATATAAAACCTGCTTGTTTCCAAAGATTATTTTAGTGAGCTTCATATTGAGGTTTTGGGAATTTTTCAAAGAAATTTCACGTCTTGAAATATATATTCTTACGCCTTGGATGATGAATGAATGATTATTGTCATAAGCGTCACTTCAGTGTTGTGTTAAACAGGGCTGGATTAATTATTTCACGGGTCCTGGTGCAAGAATGAGCTGCTGGGCGTTCTTCTTATGGCATTATAACAGCAAAAGAAAAACACAATACAACACTGGAACACCAAACCCGTCTGGTTTCTTCCACCTTAAATAATCAGGTAAGTTCTGAAGACCAAACTTGAGCATTTAAGAGGTTTCAATCAATTTCAGTGATAATTCTCATTTCCACAAGACACATCAAGTACTTTTTCTTCTCCTGAATCATCTACTGTACAAACTTTGTTTTTTTTGTCAGCTAGAACTTATTGGCCTTTGTGGGCTCAACATGTTTAATTTTATTAAGGCCTAATGAATTTTATATTGGTACCCACTCAATGAGTTCATTGCAGTTTAACAATACTTGCTTTCTTACTGGCCTCTGTGTGAATTTTATTGAACTTAAATAGATTAATGACCATTCAGAATATAAGCACAACACTGAAAAAAATACCTAATTGCCTCTACATTTGACAGAGAAAGAAAACCCCCCTCCTCAAATAAATCGCTTTACATTTTTGTGGTACAGGATTTCTGTTCACTTTTTTGCCAAAAGTTAGATCAGAACTGAACTCTCAGCTCAAAGCTATAGCCTCTGTGTGAACACCTAAACTTGGCATAAAGACCGGGAATAGAGGTAAGTAGCTAGTGTGCTCTAGAGTCTAAGTTAACTGCCTGTCTGTACAGCTGACGGAATCCTCTTTTTTTATTTCTCTTTTCCTTATTCCCTTATCCAAACATCCACCTCTCATGCTAACTACTCCGTTAGCCTTCCTCGGATCCAAGGTACGTTAGCTTAACATGCTAATTATGCTAAACTACGCTAACTGGTTGCCTGCTTAAGCTACATTGCTATTATTAAATTGAAAGTTGTATTTATTTTTTCCTCGAACTCCAAGCAAGGAATCTTATAAATGTGACATTTTATTTTTGTATTTCCAAAACCATAAACAGGTGTGTGTCATTAACTTGAATGCAACTTGACAGGGACTTGACTGGGATCCAAACATCCACCACCTCTCCCGCTAACTCCTTCTCAGTTAGCCACCATTGGACATACAATTGTAGATTTCTCAGGGAATGGGACCCACGCTAAGAAAGAGGTAATCCTAAAAGAATATTTTGACATTTCGGAAATCGATTTATTGGCTAGAGCTATTTGAGTACCTTAGCATGAGCCAATGACATTAATTTAGCATAAAAGAAAGCAAACAGTAACATTGGCTTCCTTGGCTATTATTTATAAAAGCAATACAATATACCTACCACAACTGAGGCTCAATTAGTATATCTGTTTGTGGACAGGGCCACGTTATTTGTTTCCCCCTGTTACCCGTCTTTGTGCTAAGCTAAGCTAACCTGCTGCTTGCTGCAGCTACCTATGTACTGTTTTAACACACAAGTTGTATTGATTTTCTCATTTCACTCTGAGCAAGGAATCAAATGAATGTCATAATTTATATTTAAATGTTCCCAAAACTAGAACTTATTTTTCCTGCAAAATATTCACCCGGAAATCCAAACATCTACCTCTCCTGCTAACTCATCCATTCATCAAGCCTCAACTCAAGGTATGTCAACATGTTAATTTATCACGGAATGGGACAAAAATTCAAACTAACTCTATGCAAAGAAAAAAAAAAGTTAAACCTTTTCATTACCCCCCCCCCCCCCAGTTTTTTAACTATCCTTTTACTGCTTATGAGATTTGAAAGGACAAAAGTGCAAATGTCTACCCGTAAAAATAATTTACGGTGGATACTTTCATATAACATTCTCATAACTGACCTCAGACCTCATCAAATATAACTTAATATCTCCTGGGCAAACCGCTTTCCAAAATGTTAAGTTATTATTTTGTTTTAGCATGCATTTGGGTTCCTCATTAGCTATATATGTGTGTCCAACATTAGGATACGTGTGTGGGGCCCTTTGAAAAAAACGGATAGAAGAAACACTCAAACTGAAAGTGTGTGTATGTGTGTATGTAGCTTACTGTATGTCTGTGTGTTAAGTTGGTTTTGAAGCCACACACT